AGGCATTAGGCCAAAGCTCAGGGAAGGGCTGGAGATTAAAGGTCAGTCACGAAGCCGGGGCCTGGTGGCTCAGTCTGTAATCCCGCGATCACAGCCACCATAGCCCCAACCTGCTGGGCTCAGGCAATTCTTCCACTTCAGCCTTTCAAGTAGCTGGAACTGGCACGCGCCACCACGTCCGGCTAATTTTTTGATTTATTGTAGAGATGAGATCTCGCCAAGTTGCCCAGGTTGGTCTCAAACCCGTGGGCTCAAGCAATTTTCTCACCGCCACCTCCCAAAGTGCTGGGATTATAGACATGAGTCATTGCATTCGGCCCAATGTATATATTTTATTTTATATTTTTGAGTCAGAGTCTCACTCTGTTGCCCAGGCTGGAGTGCAATGGCATGCTCACGGCTACCGCAGCCTGGACCTGCTGGGCTCAATCTTCTGCCACAGCCTTCCAAGTAGCTGGAACTACAGGCTCACGCCATCACATCCAGCTAATTTATCATAGAGATGAGGTCACACTAAGTTGTCCAGGCTGGTCTTGAACCCATGGGCTCAGAAAATCCCCTCACCTTGGCCTCCCAAAGTGCTGTAAATAAAGGCGTGAGCCACCGTACCCAGTCAACTTATATATTTTAAAACCCCAAATAACCATTGTTTATGTTTTGAATTACTTATGGCAACTTGCACTTACTACTCCCCCTACTGGCCCCACTCCCCTGGGAGAGATGTGCCAAGAGCTAACTGGTATAGAAATATGACCCCTTTTGTAGGAAATAAGGACATAAACTTGACAAGGGCCTTGTGTTTCTGGCCTGATTCCAACAGGAGGTTGGCCAGTGTTTTCTTCTCTCCATGTTTGCCCCTGAGAATGTTGTTTTAGCAGAATTCAGGTGCTGTGACCTCTAGTCTGCGTAGGCTGAATGTAGCCTACTTCGATAATAACTTTACTCAGAGCCGGGCTCAGTGGCTCAGCCTGTAATCCCGCGCCTTGGGAGGTTGAGGTGAGTGGAGTGCCTGAGCCCACGGGTTCAAGACCCGCCCGGGCAACTTGGCGAGACCTCATCTCTACAATAAATCAAAAAAATTAGCCAGGCGTGGTAGTGTGCGCCTGTAGTTCCAGCTACTTGGAAGGCTGAGGCGTAAGGATAGCCGGAGCCCAGCAGGTGAAGGCTGCGGTGACCGGGAGCGGCAAATGCACTCCAGTCTGGGTGACAGAGACTCCAACACAAAAAAATAAATAAATAAATAAAAATAAAAGTCAGTCACGGGTAGTATGTGATTATGCCCCAAGAAAAACTCTGGACACAATTCAGGCGCCATGGCTCACAACTGTAATCCCAGCACTTTGGGAGCCAGAGGCAGGAGGATAGCCTGAAGCCAGGAGTTTGAGACCAGCCTGGGCAGCATAGTGAGACTGCGTATCTACAGAAAAAAAATTTTTAAATGAGTTGGAGCTGGGTGTGGTGGCACAAGCCTATAATCCCAGCACTTTGGGAGGCCGAGGCAAGAGGACTGCCTGAGCTCAGGGGTTCGAGACCAGCCTGGGCAACTTGGTGAGACCTCGTCTTTACAATAAATAAAAAAAATAGCAGGGCATGGTAGTGCATGTCTATAGTTCCAGCTACTTGGAAGGTTGAGGTGGAAGGATTGCCTGAGCCCAGCAAGTCGAGGCTGTGATAGCCGTGAGCATGCCACAGCACTCCAGCCTGGTCAACAGAGACTCCAACTCAAAAATAAAAAAATTAGTCAGGCATGATGGCACATGCTTGAAGTCCTAACTACTTAGAAGGCTGAAACAAGAGGATCACTGCAGCTCAGGAGTTCAAAACTGCAGTGAGCTGTGATCATGTCACTGCACTCCAGTACAGGCAACAGAGTGAGATCCTAATAAAGAAAATTCTGAGCTGGGCGTGGTGGCTCAGCCTGTAATCCCCCGCGGGTTTGAGAACCACCTGGGCAGCAAGACTTCATCTCTACAATAAATCTAAAAATCAGCCGGGCGTGGTAACGCATGCCTGTAATTCCAGCTACTTGGAAGGCTGAGGTGGAAGGAGCGCTAGAGCCCAGCAGGTCGAGGCTGCGGTGGCCGGGAGCGGCCACTGCACTCCAGTCTGGACGACAGAGTGAGACTCCAACTCAAAAAAAAAAAAGAAAAGAAAATTCTGAACACTAATGGTTCAGGAAAGCTTTCCTGGGAGGAGGTAACTGTGAACAAGACTTTACTGCAAGAAGCTTGGACCCCTCCCAGATTCTGTTCTAGGCATATCATCCTTTGACTGGCTCTGTGTATCTTTTTGCTGTAGTAAAACTATAATCACAATACTTGCTGGGTTGTAAAGTCACTCTAGTATACTGCCCACCTGAGGGTGTTCCTAGGGACCCCTCAACTTACAGCTGGTGTATGACTTGAGGGCAGACTTATGGGGACCATGCCCTCTAAATGTAGTTCACACAACTCTTTGCACTCTGTGACCCACCTTATTATAGCCATCAAGATCTGCCCACTTCTTGCTGACTAGACTTCATCTTTTTTGTTTGTTGTTGCTGAGTTGGAGTCTGTGTCGCCCAGGCTGGAGTGCAGTAGAAAATGTGTACCTGTGCATACCTGTGCCCTCAGTGATGACAGGAAGCTCAGTGATGACAACCTGCCCCCAATCAAAGTTTAAAAGGCATTCAACTTCAAACAGTCGCCTTTGTTTTATTAATCACTGGCCAGGCCATGTGTTCTTTGAGTTATGGCTGCTTTGTTTTCTTAGTTTTGGCCTCCTCCCCTACCTTTAGGAAGTGAATCTCCTCTAATTTACTTTCTAAATAAAAATTTGTTTGAATACTTTGCTAGCTGCTCTAAAATTCATTGCAGAAACAAGTAACAAATGAGTTTTGCACCACACCCCACCCAGTATCATCTGTGCCACTGCACTCCAGCCTGGGAGACCCCTACTCAAAAAATCTTCTGCCTTCAAGGCATCCTCCTGCCTCATGAGGCCTCCCAAAATGTTGGGATTACAGACATGAGCCAACACACCAGGCCTAGACCTCTACTTACTCCTCTCCTCTGGCTGTCTCCTCATTCCTCATTCACAGCCAGGCTCACACTTCACACTCTAGAAAGCTCCTTCCCCAGATACCCACCAGGTGAACTTCACTTATTTTGAAACTTCACTCACAGGTGACCTCTCTGGTGAGGTCTCCATTCCCACCAAAATCCCCTCTACCCCCACCTTTCCTGCTTTACTTTTTCCTTGTTATCACCATATCTACCATACTACCAACTTCATTTGTCTTATTTCTTCTCCAGTTTTCCAGAAGACTATCAGCCTCAAGGAGGCAGGGATTTTTGTACTGTGTTCCCTGCTATAACCCCAGGAACTAGAACAGTTACTGGCCCATGATGAGTGCTCAATCTTTTTTTTTTTTTTTTTTTTGAGTTGGAGTCTCACTGTTGCCCAGACTGGAGTGCAGTGGCCACTCCTGGCCACCGCAGCCTCGACCTACTGGGCTCTGGCGATCCTTCTGCCTCAGCCTTCCAAGTAGCTGGAACTACAGGCGTGCACTACTACACCTGGCTAATTTTTTTATTGTAGAGATGAGGTCTCGCCAAGTTGCCCAGGTGGGTCTCAAACCCGCGGGCTCAAGCAATCCACTCACCTCAGCCTCCCCAAGCAAGAAATCACAGGCTGAGCCACCAAGCCCGGCTAATAAATTGTTAACAAAGGACCTCTGGTATCCTTTAGAAATACCTTTTAAGGCCAGGAGCAGTGGCTCACACCTGTACTCCCAACACTTTGGAATGACAAGGTGAGAGGATTGCCTGAGCTCATGGGTTCAAGAACAGCCTGGGCAACCTGGTGAGAACTTGTCTCTACAATAAATCAAAAAATAAGCCAGGCATAGTAGCGTGCGCCTATAGTTCCAGCTACTTGGAAGGATCGCCTGAGCCCAGTAGGTCGAGGCTGTGGTGGCCGTGAGTGTGCCACTGCACTCCAGCCTGGCTGACAGAGTGAGACTCCGACTCAAAAAAATTTAAAAATTAAAAATTTAAAAATTAGCCAGGCGTGGTGGGCCATGCCTATAGTTCCAGCTACTTGGAAGGCTGAGGTGGAGGGATTACCTGAGCCCAGCAGGTCGAAGCTGCGGTGGTTGTGAGCGTGCCACCGCATTTCAGCCTAGGCAACAGAGACTCCAAAAAAAAAAAACAGAAGCCAGGTACAGTGGCTCACACCTATAATCCCAACACTTTGGGAGGCTGAAGCGAGAGCATCACTTGCGCTCATGCCAGGCACAGTGGCTCACGTCTGTAATTCCAGCACTTTGGAAGGCCAAGGTGAGAGGCTTGACTGAGCCCAGGAGTTCAAGATCACCCTAGGCAAAATGGCGAGACCTCATCTCTACAATAAATAAATAAATTAGCCTGGCATGGTGGCGTGCACCTGTAGTTCCAGCTACTTGGAAGGCTAAGGAGAAGGATCCTGAGCCCAGGAAGTTGAGTAAACCATGAACGTGCCACTGCACTCCAGCATGGGTGACAGAGAGAAACCGTGACTAAAAAAAAAGAAAGAAAACAAAACTTGAGCACAGGAGTTAGAGACCAGCCTAGGAAACATAATGAGACCTCATCTCTACATCCAGACCATCCCACCCCGACTTTCTCCCTGAAAGATTGAGTCTATAAAAACAGGAATACTAACTACACATGGCTGAAATAGTCCTTTGCCAAAAGAGACAAGGGAAGAGTTAGCAAGACCCAAGACGTCCAAGAGAGCCCCTTGCTGTCCCAGCCCTGACACCTCCTTGCTGCTGACTTTGGAAGGCCCCTTCTTCTCTGGGCCTTGGTCCCTAAAAGAATAATGGAGTTGGAGCAGGTATATGAAACTCTCTGGCCAAGATCCCTGTGGGGCAAAGAGAAGACAAGACCTCACCAGGCAGGGGTGACTTTTATTTGAAGGCAGAAAACACGCTACTGGGTGGGTGGGTGGGGGCTTCATCTGTGATCTGCAACAGTTAATAAAAAAAGGGAGAAGAACCAGAACCCAAAGGGCCTGGGGGGGAGAGGAGGGGGAGGGTAGTGGGTCCTGGTCAGGCTAGGGTCAGGCCACATAGGGGAAGCGGATTAGCAGGCCTTCATGCGGCTCCAAGTTTAGGTGTTCCAGCTCAAGGGAGGCACCCTCCTCACGGCCTGGCTGGGTGCTGAGCAGGAGGTTAGCCCTGGCTGGCAGGCTGGCGCTGGCAGGCAGATTGGAGGCCCCCAGCCTGGCTGTGAGACCCACATTCCGAAAGTTGAGCACTACCAGGAAACGCTCATTCTGGTCCCAGTGGCGGATGTAGGAGAAGAGTTCAGGCCCAGTGGAGAGTGTATGGAAGTCCCCATGCAGCAGGGAGCGTTCCTTACTCCGCTGGTCACTCAGGCGTCGGAATAGGGACAGGAAGGAGCCAGGGTCTTCACTCTGGCCCTGAGAACAATGAAGACATAGCAGAAGGCAATGAGGGGTGTCCTGAGTGCAGACTTCTACCAGCCCGACCCACCCTCTGCCAGTCAGGGTGTGCCCATCTAAAACCCTTACCTTCACAGTCACGTTGGCATTCATGGCCCCTGCAGTGTTAGGGAAGCTGGATTCATCCCACAGCATAACTGGGGCCTCCACAGGCTGAAAAGCAGAAAAAATAGAACTTTAAGGCCGGGCACGGTGGCTCACGCCTATAATCCCAGCACTTTGGGATCCCAAGGTGCGAGGATTGCCTGAGCCCACAGGCTCGAGACCAGCCTGGGCAACTTGACAAGACCACATCTCGACAATAAATCAAAAAATTAGCTGGGTACAGTGGCATGTGCCCATAGTCCCGCTACCTGGAAGGCTAAGGTAGAAGGATCACCTGAGTCCAGCAGGCCAAGGCTACAGTGGCTGTGAGCGTGCCACTGCACTCCAGCCTAGGCAACAGAGACTCCAACTCAAAAAATAATAATAGCAATAATAGGACTTTTAAAAGGCCTGGGAAAGCCGGGTGCAGTTGCCCACACCTGTAATCCCAGCACTTTGGGAGGCCAAGGCGGGAGGAGGATTACTCGAGTCCAGGAGTTTGAGACCAGCCTGGCCAACACAGCGAGGCCTCGTCCCTACAAAAGATTTAAAAAATTAGCCAGGCATGGTGGACATACCACTAGTCCCAGTTACTAGGAAGGCTGATGCAAGAGGAGCACCTGAGTCTAGGAGTTCAAGGCTATGGTGAGTCATGATCATGCGGCACTTCAGCATGGGCAAGAGAGGAAGACCCCGGCTCAAAAAAATTTTTTTAATTTTTAAAAAGGGCCTGGGCCCACTCTCCCTTCCCATCTTCATCCATGTATAACCTCTTACATCTATGCCTGTGCCTGGCTAACTTCTACTGGACAAGTGGAGCAAGCAAAGTCCTTGAACAACACTGTTGTTCCCTCAGTCCAAAGAGCTGCCAGATAGTCAAAAGGCAGCTTCCTCACTTTCTTCAGCTCTGTTTGGTTATCTCTTCATGTTTTCCGTAGCCACTCTACAAAAGATTCCCTATCCCTTATTCTCTAGGTCCCTTGCCCTGCCTTCTTTTGCACATCCCTTATCAGCACCTGGCACCTTAGGTTTCCACATTATCTAATCACCTCCAGCTCTTTTGTGCACTGCTGTATCCTTGGTGTGTAACACATAGGAACTATTCAATAACAATCTGTGAAATAAATGAATGACCGGTTCTATGGATGCCAGCTCAGGCATCAGCTCCAACCTCATGGTTAAAGCTAGTGAATGCCTTCGTGGCCGTGCCCCAACACAGCACTCAGTGCCATGAACCTCTCTACTTATGCATCTAGCTCCCTCACCAAACTATGGGTTCTTGGAACCTAGCACAGCACCCAACTGTCCGAAGAAAGAGGGAGTGAATAAATAAAAAGTAGTTGCCATATTGATTATCTGCCAGGTACTAGGCATCATCATTAAAAACATGCCCTCGCTTAATCAAAACCACCTTGCAAAAAGAGATGGCCAAGATTCCAAGGGGAAAATAATTAGCCCAAAGCCACACAGCCCAAGGCTCATGTCTGTCTGCCGCCATCCACAGAACCATCATGCTAAGATGAACACAGCCTCCCCCACTGTGCTGAGCAGAAAGCAAGCAGTACCTGTCCAGGAAGGGCAGCTGCCTGAAGGCCGATCTCGTCCCCATAACTGAAAACAGGGGTCCCTGGCAGGGTGAAGAACAGCAGCTGGTAGAGTCGAAGGAGTTGAGCCGGCAAGAAGGAAGTCAGGAACCCTGCCTGAGACAGCTGCAGCGACAGACACTCTGGTGAGCCCCGTAGCCCACCTATGCCTCCACCTCTCAACAACCCTGTCCTCCAAAACCCTCCCTGCCCCCACTCCCACCAGCATGGTACTCACACTCCAGCTGCACCAGTGACTGCCAGTGGCATTCAAATACTGGGTGACTAAGAATTTTGTGTGCTCCCCAGTGAAGTTAGACTTGGAAAGGTATGAACTAGTCAACAGCATGTCCTTGTTGGATTCAAGTAGGCTCAGGATCTGCTGAAGGTCGGAGGAGTTAGTTCCTGCAATCAAGAGCCTGCATGGGGGAGAATGGGGATCAAGGTTGGTACAAGAAAGCAAATGGTGGAAAGAGAGTTCTCTGGACAGGAATACCCCTTCTTAGGGCCAAGCACTCCACTGAGGGGTTCCCACAATGAAGCCAATAAAGGGAGGTGGCACCAGGCACTCACTTATCTTCACTGAAGCTCTTGGTAATGTTCTGCCACTCAGCCAAGAATGATGATGCATCCTAGAAAGAAAAAGCAAAGTCAAAGAACAGGGAACACTACCAGGTCCTGGCAGAGCCTCTCTGTTCTCACCTAAGCTTTGCCTCTCATGTAGAAAGGAAACTCACCTTCAGATCCTGTACATCTCGAAACTGGAACCCATCCACGCCAGCTTGCAGCCAAGACTCCAGAGCATCCTATAGGTAACAAGAGAATAAAGGACAGATATCAATGCTCCCTGGTCTTTATATTCATCTGAGGCTACCACCCCTCATGCCAAACCATCCAAAAATATTCCCTTATCAGTAACTTTTCCAAGGTCTCCCAGCAATTACCAAGGCCTGAACTGGAAGATTCCAGGTGTCCTACCCAAATGTGGGCTATCTCAGAATCATAGCTGCCAGCGAAGTGTCAGGAACTGCCTCCATTTTTGTATCCATTCTAAACTGGTCAGAAAATTCCAGCCTACACTAAACCTCGCCCACCACACACCTCCCCTTTGGGAGAGTCAAACGCCTTGCCTAGGTCTTCCCACCTGTATTACAAGGTCCCCTCCAGCTCTATCCTCCCATTGGTTCTCCTAGTGCCACAATATTTTACTTCTCTGTTCCTGTCTCTGGAAAATCAAATAGCTTTACCTTCTGACAACTACAGAAGAGGCCAAGAGAAAAAGTGTGCCCATAAACATAATTTCATTTAGCCCTCAGCATGTAGAATGCTAGTGTATCTATTTTAGAGATGACGAAACAGCCTCAGAGAAGCAAGATGTGACCAAAGTCATAATCAGTGAGCAACAGACAGGACCTTAAAATATCAGTCAAGATCCCAAGGCAAGTGTACTTACTCCTCCCTCAGCCTCCTGAGGCAGGTATGAGTACAAGAACTGGCCAGAGCAAGGCCAGAGATGAAAGACTGAGATTCAAAACACAACCCCAGGGCAATTTAAAAGATTTGAAAAGAGGCCAGTTCCAAAGAACAGGCACAGCCCTGCAGCCCCAGCAGTAGCCTGGAACACAACATGAACCCTACCCCCACTGCCCTTTTCCTCCCTTTCTCTACTCCATGTACACCTTGGTCTTTATTCTCATCTGAGGCTACCACCCTTCATGCCAAACCATCCAAAAATACTCCCTTATCAGTAACTTTTCCAAGGTCTCCCAGCAATTAGCAAGGGCTAAACTGGAAGATTCCAGGGTCCTACCCAAATGTGGCCTGCCTCAGAATCATAGCTGCCAGAAAAGTGTCAGGATCCACCTCCATTTTTGTTCTATCCATTCTGAACTGGTCAGAGGCCTAGAACTCAGGTATCAGGAGTTGGGGTGACAAAGTCCCACTCCTAGCCTGCTGGGTATAGATTTTGAGCCCATGGCAGATTAGAGAAATAAGGCTACTTGGGACACTTCAAAGCTTGGGCGCTTGAATCCTCTCTAAACCTCAGCTTCACAGATTTGGGATAACAAAAGATACCTTACATAGTGGTTAGACAGGGCATTAGAAAACATCTATATAATACTTGGCATAGTCCCAGACACATAGGAAGACCCCAATGCTTACAATTTCAGACTGGGCTCCACTCCAACCACATCAAACAACTGGGAAACTAGTCAGGACAGGATTCCCACAGAAAAATGGCTTCCTCTCTCAAAAGAAAGAAAAATCTAACTCCCAGATTGATATGTGAGAAAGTCCTTTCCTGGCACTGTCTCACCCTCAAAAGTCAAGGAAACAAGAAAAATGAGTAGTCAGAAAAGGAACAAAAAAACAGCAGTGCACTGCTGGCCTATCCGTCTGCTATGGGAGGAGGCAGAACTGCTTGGCCCCAAGGAGCAAAGGGCCCTTTGGCTAGAGCCAGGCTGTGTTTACAGGGTTTGCTGTGAAAGGACCAACCTATCCCCAGCATCTGGTTCCCACCTGCCATCAGCTACAACACACTCACCTTCACCTTGGTGGCCACAGTGTCAACCTGAGTAGAGAACCACAAATTCTCGCCCCGGTAGTTGGGAGTGAGGTCCAGAATGACACGGATGCCTGCAACAATGGAGGAAGAGGCAGTTGTAAGAAAATCTCTGGGGGTGAGGGGAAATAAGGAAATCACTAACACAAGTCTGTTGAGTGTTCCCTACATATTATTTGGTACAAGTTTAAATGTGACCCTGGCAAAACTCATTCCACTGAAACACAGATGTGAACAAGGAGGGGCCTTAAGATCTTGGAAAGCAAAAGGTCTACAGTGTAGTCTGAGTGTGGGGTCATGGGGTCCCACTCCCAAACCTTTTAAACATACTCAATAATCATTTGTGAGACAATATTGGGGATTCACCCTCCCCCCAGAATCCACTGTTTTACAGGTTTAAAAACTACTGATTTAGTAAAAGCCTACATCTTGCTAAATGGGCACTGAAGCCAAGAAATTAAGTGACTCGCTCAAGATTGCACAGCCAAGTAGAAAGCCCCTGAACCACTGGACAAATTCATTTTAGGCTGAAGCCTAACAAACCTCCCCTGTACCTGCCCTGGGAAAACTGAGCCAGTTAGGAATAAATCAGACAAAAGCCCCATCCTGTTTTCCCTCTGGCCAGAAGTCTAATAAGCCCTTTTTTCAAGTGCTTCCTTGGGAACCCCAGGACACCCACTCTTTTTCTTGGCCCATTGCAGGAGACTGTCAAAATCTTCCTTAGAGCCAAAAGTGGAGTCGATCTGTACCAAGTCGGTCCCAGCGATATCATCCTTCTGGTTCTTGTGAATTGGACCCAGCACAAAGCCCTTGACCTTTAGCGTGCTCAGGTAATCAAGTCGATCCTTCAGAGCTGAAACGAGGGGGGGGGAGATAAGGGTTAAGGGTTAATGAGTGAGGCCCCCTCAGAAAGGTCCCTGATCTCCCCATTGTCTCCCACAACTGGGAGGGGGGAGTACGGGGGTGGAGAAGCTGGATCACAAGACTCGGAGGAGCTGATGTAAGTTGCCTTTTACATTACTTCAGAAACCGGTTACGACTGGCTCCCGGCGCGAAGCGGGAAAGGAGGCTGCTGAGTCAGCCATCCTCGTGAAAGAGGGAGGGGCGGGGCGGCTTTCCGCAAAGAAAGGGGGGAAGGACTGTGTGCCGGGGAGCGGCAATCGGTACCGGATGGGGTGGCCTGTCGGTCTGGGCAGGGATGGGGGTCCGTGCAGGTGAGAACGCCAGGGGCGCGCCGGGACGGGAGCACCGCACTCACCCGCCAGGCCGTCCGCGTCGCGGCCCTGGAAGGCCTGAAGGTCGCCGATGCGGTAGAGGGCGCCCGTGTGCCACCACCTCTGCACCGGCAGCTCGCGACAGCGCGGCGCCCGCACGATGATGACCACGGCGCCCGCCAGCATGCCGAGCCAGCCCAGCCAGAAGAGCAGCAGCAGCGCCCAGCGGGTGCGCACCCAGCCGGGGCTGCCCGCCACCTTCAGCAGCTCCTCCTTGGACAGGCCCGTGAACTTGACCGCGGTCGCCGCCTCCGCCTCGTCTTCGGCCACCTTGATCTTCACCAGACCGGTTTTCTCGGCGCCGCCCGCCCCGG